TCTTAACTTTTATAAAGAATATCTCTTTGGATTTGAGACTTTAGTCTTTGCAACTTTACAGATCTTCTTTATGCACCAAGAGCTTGTAACACTCCAAAGAGAAAGGAAAAATTGAAATCGCATCATATGACCCCTTTAAATCTGCGCACCTTCAAAAGTAATCTATCACTGTCTGGACTAAAAGAGAGTAGACTATAAAAGTCATCATAGACATTGAGGTTTGGATGCTGAACAAGAGGTATCATGATATAACCAACAAGACATGCATGCATCTACTATCTGAACCTGAAAATGTTTAAATCATGATTGGTTAATGATTGATCCTTCAGCTTCGCAGTGTGTTGTATTAGGTCTCTAAAGAATAACGTGGTTATCACATGAACTAAAAGATAGTGGCAGAAATTCAGGCAGTTTACTTGGTGATACACCGAAGAATGACGATTCAACAACAAAGGCATCATCTTTAGTCATTAGTAAATCTTACATTCAAGCCTAATAATCATGTTTACACTTGCAGCTAAAAGTGCTACAAATCCATTGATTCCGATCGGGTTGGTGCATTGCAAGTATGTGGAGGATAAATTCAAAGTTTTTTTTTTAATGAAAGTTACACTTTGTCATGTGGTCAAAAGTTGAAAAAATGTTAACTCTTCCAGGATTTAAGTGGTCAAGATTTGGCTGATGTTCCTGTTAGCTCCTTCTAACACATGCCGTAACTCTTTCTCCACTGCCAAACATGCAAAAGAGCTTTATATTTCCAAAAAGATTGCAATTGCAAAGTTTTATTATATTATGTTTATAATTAATTAATTCTTTATTTATTTGCTGGCTGTAGAAACAGTAGTTGCTACAAGGTCTTGGGTCTTATGGTCAAATTAACTGTTGCTCTTGCAGGCAAAATCCAATCGTTTCAATGGTTATTTATGTGATAGGCAATTTCACATAAGGGCAAATGATTTGCCAGCACAGATTTCCCATTGGGGTCAAGTTTTTCACTCAAATTTGCCTTGTTGACTAAAAAAAAGCTGCTTGGTTTGTGTAACCTGTACTTCATACATTACGGTGACCAGACGTGCCACTTCCCGGGGACTCATTCAGCACATGATTTCGCTCTCGCGGTACTTTGATGTCATACAACGATCGATCGGCACAGCGCAAACAATCTGGTTATTTCGAAATCCTGTGCTGAACGTGTCCCCGGGAAGTGGCACTGGTCACCTTATCATACATTGCTATGCTAAGCTAGTAGGCTAAACTGTTAGCTTGCAAACTAAAGCCTGAAATGTTTAATTTCACAATTTTTAGCTGTGGTAATTTAATGCACTGAAAAAAATGTTTCATTCATCCAATTAAAAAAAAATGTGGGTAATGATTCACATCTATATTTTTTAATTTGAGCCAATGAAAAATAAATAACTTGCCCTTGTGTGTTATGCAATTTTGATTAAGAATAAATACACTATAAAGCAGTTTTTGGTAGCTATAATCAGGCAACAGAGTACCCAAGTTTCTCAGCCAATAGAATCACTTAAGGAGATCCATTAAATGCTCCTGAACCCTAAATTTATAATGGCTGTAATTTAATGTTTGAGCAGCCATTTTCACTTTCTTTTGTCTTTAAGCTGCAATGCCATGTAGCACCTCAGGGTGTCCTTATAACCAATGTTACAGTATATACACTAATGTCTGGACCATAGTTTGCAGTAGTGGATCTTTACTTGACATAGGCTAGTTGACTCAGTGAAACCCAATAATTAAGATGCAGGTGATGTGACTGTTGAGATGTCCTCTTAGGCTTTACAGGAACGCAGTCTCACAATTCCTGCTATAAGTTGATTAATGATTCTCAATCTCAGATTTTTGACAACTCTACGTCACAAACACACTTATGATGTGACTGTTGAGATGTCCTCTTAGGCTTTACAGGAACGCAGTCTCACAATTCCTGCTATAAGTTGATCATTAATGATTCTCAATCTCAGATTTTTGACAACTCTACGTCACAAACACACTTTTATAATTAACTCTGAGAAGGTCACACCCATCTCTAGATGCACATATATAAGTAAACGCGTACACACGCACATACGGTCACACACCTGCAGGTGAGCGTCTGATCCAGGTGTCTTCACCGTTGTGTCAGAGAGGGACGCAGTGTGCTGCTCCACCGGCCCCCTTCGAAAACCATCAAAATGGGTGAAGATTATTTTGGATTCTCTTGGGTTCGCAATGAGAACAGAAAAAACGTCACCATATATGTTAACAATCCAGCGGACATCTCAGTGATTGTTATATATTTTCTGGTGGTTCTGGCTGTGGGAATATGGGTAAGTGGTCAGTAATTTCTATCCACCTGTAAAAGATTTTTCTACCATTGACAGACTTGTGAATTGTTAACCTTGCATCAACATATAAATGTACAATGGCTGTGTGAGATAAGTCTGAAGACAGAATGAGGATGGTGACTGATTTCACAGAAAGTTAATAATAAAATGCATTTTTGCAAGTTGTTTTGCAAAAAAAATGCAAAATCCTTTAGAAAAACTGATAAAAAAAAAAAATATATATATATAATATAATGCAGTTTTTCAAGTTGTTTTGTTAAAAATGCTAAAATCCTTTAGAATTTTTTTTTTTCAGACAAAATATAATATAATGCATTTTTACATTATATTATTTGCATTATAATATATTTAGCATCCCCCCCCCCAAAAAAACCTAAATCCTTTAGAAAAATTAATTGCTCCAATGTTACATTTCTTGTTATAATTCTTCATATGTGATTTAAAGTAACTATTAATGATACTTGTATCTGTTTAAAACAAAACAAAAAATGAAATTGAAATTATTTACACATTTTTAGAAATTAATTGCAATATTTTAGAAATCATTTACAAATTAATTTACATATTAATTACCTTAGTGTATCAATTGCAACCACTGTTTCCTGACATCATCCACTTTCGGAAGCCCAAGCAAAGATGTTTGGGCACAGAGGTGAAAAAAAAAAAACAGCATTTCAGGCGGTCGCACACCAGACGAGAGGCGCAGCGTCGCGCCACATCTTTAAAATTCAAATACATTATTTTCTATGAGTGTAGGCACACCGGCAGCGCCATTCGGCGTCTGTCCGCGGCGCCCAGCTACGTCGTGTTGTACTTGTAAGAATTGTTCTAGACATGCCGAAAATTTGACGCTACAGAATGAGCTGCTTTGTGATATCACAAAGCCCGGAAAACAAACGCTGTAGTCCAAACGAGCCGTTCGTTGTAGTTCTTGAAAAGGGTTTATTTAAAAACTAAATATCTCCCTTTGGAGTGGACTTTGAGATTTGTAACTTTCTAGATCTTTTTTATGCCCAAACATACACACTACACACTGACTAAAATTTAAAAAGTGAAAATGCATAATAGGACCCCTTTAATAAGTCTTATTGCGGGCATTGACATTTCGGGGATTTCGTGATAAAACCACATATTTCTACCTGTATTTGTCCATCTGAAATCCATATAATTTTAAAACCTCTTGAGAAAGTTCAAACATATTTAATCGAACAATAAACAAAGCCACTGAACACCAATCCATCAACTTTTGAGTCCACAAATGTGATGTTTTCAAGAAATGGGTCTGATCATTATATAAAGTCACATACAATGTTGTCTAATATTTAAAGTGTCTAGACTCTAGAACCGTATATATGCTGAATTGAATGACTATTTCTGTCCAAAGGCAATGGTACGGACCAATCGAGCCACAGTGGGAGGCTTTTTCCTGGCTGGCAGAAGTATGGTGTGGTGGCCGGTAAGTAAATTGACCAATATGGAGGATGACCGTGCTTTAAACCTTAAAAGCATCTTTATTTTGTACTCAGAATGTGATGGACATTGACAAAATGACATGGCTTGATCATATACTACATCAATAGTGATCGATCATTGTGCTAAATGTGGCGAATTTCTGTCGTAATGTGCTACGCAAGACTGAAACGGCCATAAAAGTAGGAGCTTATTATGTATCTATCAATAGCATGACGAGTGATTTCACATTATCACAGATATGGCATGATAATGACCCTAACTGCCCCTCAATTTCAGAACCTTGATATCATGATAGGGTGAATAAAATCTTTTATGGGGCCATAATGCACTGATGCCAGATGCGACCCACAATTCATTACAGCTGAAAGTACTGATATGGTTTGCTCATGCAGTTTGTATAGAGCTGTCATGCTTTGGTCCATGCTAAAGTTATCACCTTATACCAAATTTTTTAAGGTTTTTATTTGTTATTACAAAGTTCATTGTTGCAATCGTTATTGTTTGAATTACACCTCAGGCTGTGCAGAAGAATTAGTTTTTATAGCTTATCATTATGGTGATTTTATTGCCAGATATAGTCAAACAGTAGGCACTTAATATATTCTGAAGCAATAGGCTACAGTTCCCACAATCCCATGCTAAACTCTTACACTTTTGTAACCATTCTGACATTCAAAAATGTAGCAGATGACTTAGATTCAATTTTCTGTTCAGTTTAAACCCTTATATGAATATCAAATGTGTGTATATTAGTAAATATATTATAAAGCACATATTAATATGATTGTTTTTACATTTTCCCCCCCAGATTGGAGCCTCTCTCTTTGCAAGTAACATCGGAAGTGGGCATTTTGTGGGAATAGCAGGAACTGGAGCAGCTGCTGGTATTGCTATCGGAGGATTTGAGTGGAATGTATGTTTAAAAAAACATAACATTATAACTATGATATTTAATATTTTTGATATGTGGCAGGATTTAATGTTTTAAGCCTACTGTTTATGACTATAGGTCATTAAAAAAAGAAAAATAATATTCTGTAAGTATTTTGCATATAAAGTAATCTACAGTATGACTTAGAGATTGGAGACAATATGACTAGAGACATTGTATTTTTATTGATATAATTATAAAAATGTCAAATTTGAAGAACTAATATTTAATCATTAAGGTAAGATATTAATAAAATATCAAAGAACAAATGAATTGGTGTAATCAGTGTTATTTTAGTATTATTTATATACTATTTATTAAGATTTGGTATTTAATTTTTCATATTTTAGTCATTTTTATTTTCTTAGATATTTTAATTTAGCTTTGGTTTTTTATTTGGGTTTTAGTTTTAGTCATGTAAGCACATTTTTTCATACATTTTTTATCTTATATTTTATTTTACAGTTTCATTTCAATTAACAAAAATGATTTTAATAGTTTTAGTTTTAGTTAACACTAACAACACTGATGAGAATATGTCTAGAAAACATCGAACCGATTTTCTCTTTTTCATTTGTTTCCTCAGGCTCTTGTTGTAGTGATTATTCTGGGATGGCTCTTCGTGCCCATCTACATTAAGGCCGGGGTATGCTTACATTTCTTCCTCTTTAACCGGCATTGCAGAACAAACTTTTTTACATTTGTTAACACTGTAAAGCTGCTTTGACATAATCTGTATTGTATAAAGCGCTATATAAATAAAGGTGACTTGACTCAGATATTGCTGACTTGCACAACTTGAATGTGTCGACCACATTATCTCTCTGCAGTATCATTTTTTTACCCTTAATTCTCTTTATCTGCAGGTCGTGACCATGCCAGAGTACCTGAAGAAACGCTTTGGTGGGCAGCGGATCCGTATCTACCTCTCCGTGCTCTCCCTGTTTCTCTATGTTTTCACCAAAATCTCTGTGAGTCCAAAATCTGTGTCAACCCTTACAGAAAATATGGGTATCACATGGTAATTGCGTGGTAGCTGACATTCAATACCTGGGATACTTTGACATACCATCAGTAGTGTAACATGCTACACTCAATCGAAAGAAATTTTAAACCACATTTTTATAAATCATTCATAATTATTATGAATGCAGACTACATGGATTATTTGTAATTAAAAAATACAAGGTCCTTATTTCTGAATTAAAATTCATTTCGATATTTTTTGTTGTCTGTCCAGCCTTGTTTACGTCAGATCTTCACTAAACACTGGTTATAGTCTGATAGTCGATTTGAAATGGCCGTGATGTCCATGTGGAAATAGCTTTTATTGCCATATGCAGTCAGACTAAAGTGGGTTTAGATTTCAAAGATAAGGACCTTGTTTTGAAATGGATAGTTCAAACATTTGCACCTCACCCCCATTTTTTGTACTTCTGTTTTTTCCATCTTTCAGGCGGACATGTTTGCAGGAGCCATTTTCATCAACCAGGCTCTGGGACTAAACATTTACCTGGCCGTGATTATTCTGCTGCTCATTACAGCTCTTTATACAGTAACGGGTCTGTTGACTGAAATACTGCACACTTTAAACTGACTAATTGCCCGTACTGACAATAGCTGATAAGCCTGTGCAAGGCAAACTTTAATGCACTGCCACTTTAAACTTCTGCCATCCCCATGCTCTGTTGTGTAATAGATTTATCTCATGGACAAACCAGCCCAACAATAAACTTTACGAAATCAGAAATCATCCTACCAGCTGTAAATGTTTACATGAGCTGTGGCTGAGAGTGTTTGTATGCTTCTGTGAATGATAAACTGCAGTTGCTAAGGCTTTAGAGGCCCAAAGAGCCCCCTGCCTTGCAAACAATTTCTGAAATAAAATTAATTTTGATCATTTTTTGAGAGAGCATAAAGTCAAAAATATCATGGCGATACAACTGTCCTGATACTGTAGTAGAGAAAAATAATATTTCATTATGAGAAATCTCCTGCTACTACTGCTTGTTAATATTTAAAAAACAAAAAACATTTGTCAGCCAATCCAAAGTCATGTGGTGCGACCAACATGTAAAAAAGTGCAGAACAAAACATAAAACAGGATATCATAGAGAACCCTTGCAGACCCTCATTACTGTGGGTGAAGGTCAAAGTCTCTTAAAATATCAGATAATTTGATATTTTATGACAAGGCAAGTTAATTCACCCTCATGAAAAAGAAGTTTCGTTTAAAAAAGATATTGTGGAAATAATATATTGTATTATAGTAGTACGAAAAGAGTAGACTTATTGTAAGTGTGAATTGTTTTTTAGACCTTTGTCTAATGCATGTTAATTGTGATGTCATGTATTTAAATTTATTTGTAATTAGTAATGATGAAATTTAATACATTTGAAGACTATATTTACTCTAAAGGGGTGCTATTATGCTTTTTCACTTTTTCAACTTTAGTTAGTCTGTAATGTTGTTGTTTGAGCATAAAAAAAACCTGCAAAGTTACAAAGCTCAAAGTCCACTTCAAAAGGAGATATTTTATTTAAAAGAAATCACTTTTCAAAAACTACAACGAACAACTCATTTGGACTACAACGCATTTCATGCCAGACTGGGGAGAGAGGTGTTGTAATAATGAAAAATAATGTGTTTTTTGAACAACCTAGTACGAGAGCCTGTTCTAGTACACCCCCAAATCAAAATCAAGACTTTGTAAAAGAGCATAATAGGGCCCCTTTAAATGTAATATCAACTATCACACTACAGTTAAAATTATAATCAAGTCCTTTACATGTGATTTAGTATGTTAGTCAACACAAAAATAAGTGTACTTTAAAGCACGACAAAAGATTTTTAAAACATAATAATTTTAAGAAACAGTCATGAAAGTGCAATATTTCATTTAATTGAAAACTTTCTTGACAATGTTATACACGTTAAAAAAATTATAATTAATTAATTAATTAAACCAGCATAAATGCCAAGCGTACATTTCTGCTAACATATTTTTCCTTCCTTTTCAGTTGCTCAGTTGATTTTCATTGATAAACCTTCGCTGTTTCTTCGACAGGTGGTCTAGCTGCGGTCATCTACACCGACACCCTGCAGACCATCATCATGATTGTGGGTTCATTCATTCTTATGGGCTTTGGTACATCTGTTCACGTTTTTGAAACTGAAATGCTTTGGATAAAAACCGTCTGCTCAATGAGTAATGCTTCAACATCAACCATTTTCTTGCAGCGTTCAGTGAGGTGGGAGGCTATGAGAACTTCAAAGACCGATACATGACTGCGATCCCGTCAGTGGTAGGTGTGAACATCAGTGAAGAATGCTACACTCCTCGCGCAGACTCCTTCCAGATCTTCAGAGACCCCCTCACTGGCGATCTGCCCTGGCCTGGACTGGTCTTTGGTCTTACAATCCAGGCCGCGTGGTACTGGTGCACTGACCAGGTACTGATCCATTTATCAAGGCTACTGACTACTAAAGGTCTCTCACACCAAGGATGATAAATATAACTATAAAGTTTTAATAATCATTCATAATAATTGAATGAGAATAGAGAAGTCCATACCACATCTCTAATGATAACAACACGATGGAATAATATCACTGAATTCACTTTCAGAACATTTTTTTAAGCTGATGAACAAAACATTGACAGCCAATCAGAATTCACCTGACTTTAAAGAGCATTTAAAGTGGCAGACGACAAAACTGTGTGGACGCTAATATATTTATCATTATAGTTATCATTCTTGATGTAAATGGGCCAAAACTTTGTTCCAGCTAACAACAAAGTTTTGAAAACATTATTTCTGAATGTTCTCTGAATGTTCAAAACATCCAGTTTTTAAAAAATTTTCTATGTTATATGAATATTAAGGGAACATTCCATTATGCGAACATTCTGAAACAAGTAGTAACATTTAAAAAATGTTAGACAAACATCCAACTGAAACATTCCCGAAAGAAGTTCCATGAGCAATGTATAAATAATATTTTTGTGCTGATGTTTTAAGATCATTATTACAAACCAGATAACTTTAAAATGAACATTCTATTACAGGATAAAGGTTTGTTCATATCATGTTAGCCAGGTTCTAAGAAAGTTCCCTTTTAGCTGGGTAGGTTGTGACAACTTTCTCGTATTGCTTTTTAATAATATTCTGGACATAAAAACATACTGTTTGATAAAAGAAGAGGTCTACATGTCCAACACGTGGTAAGGAACAGATATTCACAAACATACACATTGACAAATCTCTTCTGTGTCCACTTTAGGACCACAAACTGCACTTTTATCTTGAGTTTCTCAGGATGAGCTGTGTGCTTCTTGTTTTAGTCAGAGTGAGTCTAGTCTTAAACAGACATGCTTTTAGTTAGACCCCAGATTAGTCCCCACTGAATAAGATAAGACATGCAAACAGCCAAAGAGAAGCAGAAGCAAATATAGACATGGTTAAGTTAGTTCAACAGCCCATTAGCAAGACTCATAGCCCATAAGCTTACCTGTTTCAGACTCCCATGTTTGGTTGCCCTAGATTTTTAATTGAGTGATTTAGGACACATTAGCGCAAAGGGAAAAAAAATCAATATTTAAGCTTGAAATGATGCATGGAGACATAAACATGTTTATTTATGTCACATACATTGTAATGGGATGTTCTTTCTGTGACTAGAAACAAAATGAGAAGAGTTTAATGTTTAATGAAGGTTTTTATTTATTTATTTATTTATTTATTACGTGATATCATTTCTATTTCATCTGCAGATGTTTGTTTTGACGAACAGTATTCAGTATTTGTACTCTGGCACTATAGCGGAAAAAACAGCCATAAACGTTTATTATAGTTCATAGTTTACTGTATAGTTCATATAGTTCACTGTTTTATTTGCATCTGTTTTTATTTCTTTACACAGTGGGGATTCTAAATCATTTAAGCCCAGGTTGCCAGATGTGTTTTAGATGGCGAATCATGATACCTAAAATGTTCTATGTATAATATAACATGTATAAGTATAAATACAATTTTCAACTAGATGACAAGCAGAAATAATCAAAAGAAATGTTTAAAAACTGGATGCATTGAATTTATTGATAAAGATGAAGGCTGTTACATTGTTTCATAAGATTTCTCTTATTCAAATAAATGCTGTTCATTTGAACTTTCTTTAAATCAAAGAATTCTGACAAAAATCTTGGTTTCCACAAAAATACAATACAAGCACAACTGTTTTCGACATTAATAATAATAAAAAAAATTTATTGAGCAGCAAATCGTCATATTATAATGATTTCTAACGGCTCATGTGACACTGAAGACTGGAGTAATGACTACTAAAAATTCTGCTTTGACCACAGAAATAAATTACATTTACAAATATATTGCAATAGAAAACAGATTTTTTTTTTATTGTAATATTTGTTTTTACTGTATTTTTGATCAAATTAGTGCAGGCTTGGTGAGCAAAATGTCTTTCAAATAAGTGGACTAATTAACTGTGAGCTCTTAAATGTTCCTCTGGGTTATTCACACAAACTCTTCATCTTGTTTTAGGTGATTGTGCAGTGCTGTCTGTCTGCCAAGAACCTGTCTCATGTGAAAGCGGGCTGCATCCTGTGTGGTTACCTCAAACTTCTGCCCATGTTCCTCATGGTTTTCCCTGGCATGATCAGCAGAGTGCTGTACACAGGTGAGAAACACTGACACCAACAGAGTTTTGCTCATTAGCATAAAGTCTGGTCCACTTTTTTCTCACAGAATATGCTAGCAACTTATTTTAACAAACAACCGCCTACTTAGACAGGCAGAGTGTCTGATTTACACTTAAGCAAGTGTACAAATAATACCAAAATAACATTGGTTTCTTATGACATTTCAGGGAGGGTAAATCTGCAATTTATAATTCCATAACAATTACAGAGCCAAATAATACCATTTAAAATGCGAAAATGGCATGTGGACTGAATGATAAGAAATTCTGAAAATCCAAAAGTAATGTGCAGCAATTTTTGTGACATTTTTTGAATGCAAAATGCATCAGAAGGTCAGTGAACAGTGAAAGACTATTAGTCAACTATTTGTGTGTGTGTATGTGTGTGTCAGATGAGATTGCATGTGTGGATCCAAAAGAGTGTGACTACTACTGTGGAACCAGTGTGGGCTGCAGTAATATTGCTTATCCGAAACTAGTGGTGGATCTGATGCCAAACGGTAAAGAATAATCTTTTTTCTGTTTCTGTCTTTTACATCTCTAATAGACTGACCTGTTCGGTGATATGGCTCTAAACTGCTGTGTGTTTACAAAGGTCTCAGAGGGTTGATGTTGTCCGTCATGCTGGCCTCTCTGATGAGTTCACTCACTTCCATCTTTAACAGCGCCAGCACACTCTTCACTATGGACATTTACACCAAGATTCGCCCCAAAGCCAAGGAAAAGGAACTCATGATTGCGGGGAGGTGTGTTCGTGTCTTTTTGTTTGTGTTGGGTATTGATTTTCTGATCTTGTGAGCAGAAACTGAGGTGAATAGGCTCTGAGAGGCTTGTGTTCATGCGTGCAGGGTGTTCATGCTGTTTCTGATCGGCGTGAGTATCGCATGGATCCCCATCGTTCAGTCGGCTCAGAGCGGGCAGCTCTTCGACTACATTCAGTCCATCACCAGTTATCTGGCTCCACCCATCGCTGCTGTCTTCACCCTCGCCATTTTCTGCAAGCGAGTCAATGAACCAGTGAGCAAAATCTTCACATTTCATAGTTTTGTAATAATTTTGTTTCCATTTTGCTAGTTTGAATTCTTAGGACTGTATAAAACGTACAGTTTTTTTCTCACACAATCAAAATTTTGCTGATGATTATTATGTTGCTTCACAATGTGTTAAAACATACTAGAACTATGCTAGCAACATGCTAAAACATGCTAAAAGTGTGTTAAAACATGCTAAAGACATGTTAGCAACGTGCTAAAACATGTTAACATTATACTAAAACATGCTAGCAACTTGTGAAAACCATAGATGTGTATGCATAGATGCCTCAATAGCGGCTGTTTTTATGGGCCGCTGTATGTACATAAGCCGTCCGCCATATTGGAGCAGTCAAGGTCAGTGTCCATGAACACTCGAGAGCAAGTTCACTGTGCATCTGCAATCGCAGTTCTGTCATGACAACTCTCAGAAAGTTTAGCATGGTAATATACATGGCAATGTTAATGTGGTTGGTCTTGGCAGAATAGAGCCGCTGCTGCTGCTGCGGCAGAGCAAGTACAGAGACTTTCTACTGCCAGTACATCCACAGACATGTTGCATGTAGGAAATACTGATGCTGCACATATAACATACATGAAATAACTCCCATATATAGCATACATGAAATTAACCCATAGCAGATCTATACAGGCGGAACTGGGGAAGGGGAAGGGTTTCTGAAGCACACTGCAACTGCTACAGCAAGCACTGAGTATTTGAATGTTGAGCAGCAAGCTCATGGTTTAAAAGGGTGGTTTGACTGCTTTTTTCTAGGCTTAATTCAGGGGCGTGTCCAGGATTTTATACTTGGGGTGGCAAAGAGGGGGCAAGAGCAGAATGAGGGGTGGCAACTATAGATCAGTGTTTGTACTCCCCATATATTCTGTATATTCAACACCAGTGTTGGGGATTAACTAATTACATGTAACGGAATTACGTAATTTATTTACAAAATAAATGTAAATGCAATCTGTTACAGTTACTGAGAAAAAAAAAAGTGTAATTAAATTAGCCTACAGTTACTTATGAAAATGTTAACAATTACAAAGGGGGTTTTCACACAAACACGCACATACAGATTTGATTCATTTATTTCTTAATTGCAGCGACTGCTCTAAAATATGAAGCATTATGTAGTTACTTGATAATAATATTTTGAGCTCATTTAAAATTCTAAACAGCAACATCTAAATATAAACAAAGAAGGTTTTTTGTTGATTTATAAACTTTTATTAAAGAAATGTGTAAAATGTTGCTCATCAGAATCATGGGTTCGATCGAAAAATGTAGGCCTGTATGTTAAATGCAGTGCAGTTTTTGGATAAAAGTAGCCTATGTAAACGTAAGAGCATTTGAGCAGATCAGATAAGACCAAATAAATGAATGAATGAATAGTAGGCTAATAATTATAATAATAATGATGATGATAATAACAAAAAAAAAAATGAATGTGTTATTTTCACACATTTCACACACATTAAGGTTATCAGAATCAAAAGTTAAATCTGTCATTGCAGCTTTTTGAAGT